CCGTTTCTGAGAAGAGACAGTTTAACAATACAGCACTTTATTATTGCCATCGTTATTTGCAGCTCGAAGCCACTACATACGGTTGTTTCCTCGAAAGTTAGTGTATACATTAAGGCTTTTGACAAGCAGTGCTACTTGGACGATCCAAAGCATGTAGGTGACAATGTGAGAGTAACCGTTTGCTATCTCTATATGAGAAAAGGTTGCGACTATCAATTTAAATCACTTTAACGATTGATGTTGAAATGTAAAGTATTTCACAAGAGTTTATATACCAGAAACGTTTATTGTGTATACATAAATACCATAATATAATTAGTTAAAAATAACTATAGGTGATACTAAATGGAATAACATGTTATCTATGTTTAGAAAAGGTATTTAAAGTTTATTAACATACACTGCTAGAAAATACTAGTTTTCTTGAATAGAAAAAGTTTATTGGCGAAAAAGAAAAAGTATTAAAAATTTAGAATGTTCTAGATGTCATCAAATATTAACAGATAATAGAGAGTGTAAAAAACAAGAATATAGAATAATTCGAGGAAGATTGAAAACTCTGTGTAGAAGGAAAAAGAGATACCACAATGAGTTGAAATTAAAAGAGATAGAAGAGAAGTTTAAAAACAAAGAGGTGAGGTCGTTCTATCAAGAAGTTAAAAAGATGAGAAAAGGTTACCAAAGCCACTGTAGTTATATGAAGGGTAAAGACGGAAATTTAATTAGCGATCCGGCAGAAATAATGACGTAATGGAAAAAACATTTTAAAGAACTACTAAATGGTGAGGTGGACCACGAAGCAGTAGACAACTGGACGGTTGGAGAAGATGCGATAGTTGAAAAGCAGCCTACAGAGGAGGAGGTCCTCCTGGTGTATCCTAGGTATCCTGGTGACAGCAATACATGAAATAAAAAATAACAGCTAACCAACAACTACAGGTTGTTGGTTAGGTTAGGTTAGGTTAGTTAGGTTAGGTTAGGTTAGGTTAGGTTAGTTTAGGTTAGGTTAGGTTAGGTTAGGTTAGGTGAGGTTAGGTTAGGTTAGGTTAGGTTAGGTTAGGGTAGGTTAGGTTAGGTTAGGTTTAGGTTATGTTAGGTTAGGTTAGGTTAGGTTAGGTTAGGTTAGGTTAGGTTAGGTTAGCTGCTACTACTACCAACAACTACAAAGAAAAATATATCAGCTACTAGTGCAAGTATGGGAAAAGGAAATAATGCCATCGAAGTGGTACGAAATGCCCAAACTAGTAATAACCAGAAAACTAATCGGCTCCAAAAGAAGAGGTAGATCCAGAACGAGGTGGATTAATAAAGTGGAGGAAGACCTTAAACACGTGAAGGTGAGGGACTAGAAAAGAAAAGCACAAAATAGAAGCGAATGGAGAAATATTGTCCACCAGGTCCTTCAGAGTAGTTAAGAATGTTGTATATACATATTTAAGTTAAAGTTTTGTGTAAAATAATTGTAATTAGTTAATATTAGGATTATGTTTACAAAACTTGCGCTATACCTTAACGGCCTGTTGTGCGTAAAAATAAATAGATGTCATCAAAATATCCCAAAATGTCTCGTAAGCTTTGGAACGTTAGAATATGTCTATAAAGGCATATAAAGAAAGGCAATTTAGCCAGTTTCGTCAATTTTTCGGGAGAGGAAAAAACTTGGTAAACTCAAACACACTACTGGTATTAATTTTTTGCGTTTAAGGTTTATGTGATTGGGCATTTTGGACTTATAAAATATTTAAATATTTTAACAGGAGAGGGTAGAGAATTTTTTGTGTTAAGGACATGTTCCCTTTCTGCCGAAGACAAGAAACTTTAAGAAGTTCCAAGGAAAACAATTAATATACAAACAGAATACAATAATATAAATATACATGAAATAAAGCAATTAAATCATTAATTAAAACTTTGAAGTAAATTTCAGTTCAAGTTTTTAGTTTTCTTCTGTAAATGCCTGTGTAATTGGCCATGACAAAATCGGATTCCAAAAATTCAGTTTTTCTTCCGGGATGTATACCAACGTTTTCTCCATGTCTTCCATTTTCTTGTTGATAATTGGAAGTACCTACAGTTAAATATGCTCTTCTAGTAGGAGCCTAAATTGGCTCTACTGCATTCCGTAGTTTGAATTCATCCATTATGAAGCCGCCGATGTTCATCTTACATTGAACCGTGTTAGGATTCTTTGATGAAAAAGTCATTTCTCTGAATTGTGATATGGCAAAAGCCCTTTTTTGGTTTCTTGGGACATTTTTGGCTTACGAATCATCACTTAGGCAGGTTTTTTTTTATAATACTGGGGCCACCATGAACTGAAGTCAATGAAATCATCAGCAGTCATTTGAATAACAGAAAATTTGCCGTCAATTTTTGATGTTTTCAATATAAGCTCTTCAACCTTATTAATAGTAAAATATCGTTCTTCTTGCTTTAATTTTCTTCTGATGGCTTCAAATACAAAAAAGGAGCAAAATACCGGGCTATGAACTATTAGACGTAACTTACCACCGAACATACGGCACAGCCACATATGTCAAAGAAGATATTGAAAATGCTTCGCTAATCTCTACTTCCACTGATGACTGTATTTATAATGTGGTCACAAAAATCGCTAGCATTACCGTGTCCATCATTTACAAGTCACCTGCTACGTCTTAGCCGGCCCAAGCAACTGAAGTAGAGCCTCACCCTACTGTATACGTTGGAGATTACAATAGCCATCATGAACAGTGGAAGTACAAAAATAGTGATGCGAATGGGAATGCTTTAATAAAATGGGCAGAAGACGAACGCCTGTACCTTTTGTTTGATGCCAAGATCGATCAACTTCGATCCGCGCATGGAGGCGGAATACAACCCCAACCTATGTTTCGTCTCGACGACAACAAAGACTACCTCTAGGGGCTTCAAGAAGAGTTCCAACTAATTTCCCACACAGCCAACATCGACCAGTAATAATAGGAGGGACGCAAATCCCTTTAATTAGTTCTATCCCACGTCCAAGATGGGATGTTAAAAAGGCCAAATGGATTAACTTCTCTGCGGATCTGGATAAATGCCTAGGGTGGATTACACCTAATATCAAAACCTATAACAGATTTGTTGGAGCCGTGCTAAGTGTAGCAAAAAAACACATACCATGAGGCAATCGCAAAAAATATATTCCTGGCTGGTCGGAAAATAGCGAGGAATTATATCAAAGCTTTCTTGAAACTAGTGACCAAGAAATAGCGGATGAACTATGGGATATAGGATCTTTCATAGGAATACTCTGAATAAAACTTTGGAAATGATGAGTTTTTATATAGGTTCACCACTTCACAAAATATTTTTCGGGAATGTTGGGACACCCTTTATAATTTACCACTAACCGGTCATTATTTATACATGTATCTTGTCATTACCTATTGCTCCACCACTGGTTAGAACTACGACAGATACCGTCAGAGTATATGGTAACTATTTCGAGGTGTGGGTGGAAACACTACTGTGTACTAGGTGGGCCAAAGTTACTGCATAGTGAAAGGCAGATCCGGATCAGCCGTTTAGCATACAAGGTCCATCGCTCGTTTAATAAACCGCGTACAAGCGAAAGTTTTATTAGGTACTAGTAATCTTATATTGAAAATATGTTATCCTAAAGACAACCGGCACGAGGCGGTAGTACTGCTGTGAATTAAATTGATTATATTGTGTAATCTTGTACTAGTGCGTTAATAAAACACTCCCAAATTGTTATGTTCCGTAATGAGAAGAATATTTTCCTTGGAGCTATTCGCCTTTATCGATGACACTCTGTTTCTTTATATACCTATAAATATAATTTATAAATAAGTTGTGTTGACTTGGTTTTTTTGTATAAAATATCTTCTTTTCTACTATTTTATAAGGCAATTACTTCTTGTGATCGCGAATTTATGATATTTCCACCACATTGAAATCTTTAATTCTTCTTCTTCTACTTCTTGGAGATCTTTCGATCTGTTTAATTCTGAAGCTGCCTCTGGTTGATTTCCTGAGGTAGATTGCCAACTATCCCTTCATCTTTTAGGTGGTCTTTCGGGAGGTCTTGAACCGAGCGGGTTGTTTTCTACGGCAATTTTTGGGAGTCTATTCTCATCCATTCGTCTTACATGACTGTACCACATCCTCTTACGCTGCCTTTCCCATCTTACAATATCTTGAATTTTGCACTGCTCTCTAACGTTTGTAATTCTCACCCTGTGGTTTTGTCCTTTTTTAAATATGAGGATTCAAATATAAGAATTGTGATTCTCTTATGCCATTCCTCTAGTGTTTCTGTGTCGTCCAAGATTTTGTTAAATAGTTCATTGGGTATATCATCTGTTCCAGGTAATTTTCTGTTTTTCAGCTTCTTGGTCTTTGCTTCTACCTCTTCATCATTGACTGTAGCACTTATATCTGCTTTGTATTCGTTTATGTTCAGCGTTTCTTCAGCATCATATAGCACTTTAAAATGCTGTTCACATGTATCTATAGGTACTTCCTTGTTCTGCACAAACTCGTTAACTGGTTCTTTTCTGTTCCGAAGCATTTTCCATACCTTCTTTTGGGCATCATGTAGGCCGTAGTCCATGTCGCTGGTGAATTTAGCCCAATGTTTCTTCCGTTCCATGACGTTATGTTCCAGCACGCGATTCGTGTGATGGGGTGAAATCTTTAATTGGAATATCAATATTCTCTTCAAAAGAAGAATTTCATTTCAAATGAAAATATTAACAAAAAGACCAGAAAACTATATTACCTGTTATTTTTTAGATGATCTGATTTTTGTTTTGTTTGATTGTTTTAACCAATTATGAACCAACTTCAGTTGCAGGTTTAAAATTAACGGTTTTGAAGTTTTTGAACAGCAAAAAAGTTAGGAAAGGATTTAGAGGATGATGATTATAATCTGTTTTCAAAAAATTTCAAAAGCTCATATGCTAAAGTAAAAGAGTTCATATGCTAGAGTAAAAAAGTATAACGAATCTTACCTTTTGGTCTCCAAACCTCATTTGTCGCCTAGCATTCCTAGAAACATTCATCCTACATAAAAACAGCCGAATTTCATCACTTGGATTGGACCCCGTATTTACTGGCCGTCCCAATTCGCATTGGATCGCTTGGTGATCTTGCTTATCTATTATATCATATACGCTATCTCCATGGATTAAAAGGTCCTCCTATAACAAGATAATTTCAGTGAGCATTTTATTAAGCACAATAAATTCCTTGTCAAATTAAATTTTGAGTTCTTTGTGACTATTTTGTTCGATTTTGTCAACACATTTTTCTACGTCCCACATTTAAAGCGTACCCTTTATTTCACATCCTTCTCTGCATCAAATTGTTGTTAAATGGTTGGAGTGAAGAAATTTAACCTCTGCTATGTTAGTTGTGGAGTGATCTGAGCAGCTAATAACCGATCCAGCAAAGAGGAGTAACACTTCTATAAAAAACCGGAGTTTAACTGTCCCGGCTGATATCCCCTTGTAAGAGCCCCTTGTTTATTTCCCAGGATATTGCTATGAGGAAGAAAACAAAAATCATGGCCCCTAGTCAAATACTTTGGTCGACAAGGAGTGCTCTTCAGCCGATTTAAAATAGAAAACTACAGGTGAAATACCTTAGAAACAGAATTCTGTTTTTATAGCAATTCTGAACAAGCAGCCATCAATCGAATCCCCTGTACAGCGATGCAGACCAACGAAGCTGTGTTAAATAGAGCAAATCCTGTTCGTGAGTTACTGAAATCTATTAAAATACGAACAATTTTATATCGAGGGCATGTTCTTAGAGGAGACCAGTAGCTGTAGACCGTAAACACCTCAACAATGCAATTGCCAATGTTAGGGGGACCTAATATGGCACCGAAAGAAGAAGAAAGTAAACAATTTTAAAATAAGAGCCATACTGTGCAAATAATTAGCGTGAATTTTTCTAAACCTTATTATATTTATATTTAACTCAACAAGAGAAGAAGTGTTAAATGCCATCCTGGAGTGTAAGAACTATAGATGCATTATTCTGTAAGCATCTGCATATAAAATCTTCGGCAATGTATTGTTTAAAAGACTTAAACATTTACAAAGGATATTGTTGGTCAATATCAATACAGTACTGCTGGAAGTCAACTACACATCAAATTCAAGCACATAGGCAGATTCTAGAAAAGTCACTAGAATATAACATAGATACACACCATCTTTCGTCGACTTCAAAGCAGTCTATGACAGTGTGAAAAGAACTGCATTATATAATGCAATGATAGACTTTGGGATCCCACCTAAGTTGGTTAAGTTGACCCAACTAACAATGCAAAACATAAGCTCATGCCTTAAAATTAAAGGAAAAAACTCTACGTTTTTTGACATTAATAATGGTCTACGACAGGGGAACGCGCAGGCGTGTCTCCTCTTTAATATTGCCTTGGAAAAGGCAATCAGACAAATAAATATTAGAATGAATGGAACTTTTTTTAATAGATTGACGCAAATTCTCGCATTCGCTGCAGATACAGGGTGAGTGGGGAGGAACGCACCAAACTTTAAGACTGTATAATATACGTAAAAATAAGTAAAAATAACTCATATGTTGTTATTCGATTTTCATTTGTTTTCGAGTTATAGCGATAATAACACAAAGTTGTAACTTAACATTAATTTAATGTTAAATGTTCTTATAATAAATTTTCAAAAATACCACCATTGACCTGTAAGCATTTTCTGCTTCGTCTATGAACATTCAACGTTGCTCTTCTGATTGCGTCATGGTTTGCTCTAATTGTGGCTGCAACATTTTTAATGCGTCGAATTAGTGCATCGCGAGTGTCGACTTTTACCTTGTAAACTTCATTTTTAAACCAGCCCCATAAAAAATAGTCTAATGGTGTTAGGTCTGGAGACCTCGGAGGCCAACTAATAGGACCATTGCGACCAATCCAACGCCTTGGAAATTTTGTATTTAAATGTTGCCTGACCTGACGAGCAAAATGTGCAGGAGCTCCATCGTGCTGATAATACATTTGCATTCTGATATTTAGTGGAATGTTCTGTAGGAGTCCTGGCAATTCATTCTGTAAAAAATTCAAGTACTCCTCTCCTGTAAGGCGGTTCTCAAATATGAAAGGGCCAATTAAATAACCGTCGATCACACCACACCACACGTTTACCGAAAATTTGTGCTGAAAACTAGCTTCAATTGTTGCATGTGGATTTTCATCTGACCATACATGTGAGTTGCGGCTATTATTAATACCGTCTCTGGTGAATGTTGCTTCATCGGTAAAAAGTATGCGGGATATAACACGACGATTATTATTTATCCATCGACAAAATTGCATACGGCTGGCATAATCTTCTGGTTGTAGGTGCTGTACACGTTGTAGGTGGTATGGATATAAACCTTGCTCGTGAAGTGTGTTAATTACTCTCGTTTGAGGAATGGCTAAATGAGTACCGATTCTTCGTGAGCTGATCCCTGGATCATCTTCTACTGAATCCAGAATATTTTGTATTTCTTGTAAACTTTGTCGGGGAGCACGTTCCGATATTATTTTATAACTAGGAAGCGTTCCGGTCTCGCATAGTTTGTTGAAAACTCTAATAAATACATTTTTATCTGGAGTTCTCCGATTTGGAAACCGTTGACGATATTCTTCAACAGCAGCTCTACCGTTTCCATTACAAAAGCCATAAACAAACACCATATTTGCATAATCACTATTTGAATAAGTATGTGGCATTTTGCAACAACTTTTTTTATACAAACTGTCAAATAGACATTAAATCATGTTGACACTACACTATTATGACAGTTAACTAATTATTAAACGAATCACAGATACCTGTTACAGCAATGTGATAAGTAGCAGTAAAATTACAACTTTGTGTTATTATCGCTATAACTCGAAAACAAATGAAAAATCGAATAACAACATATGAGTTATTTTTACTTATTTTTACGTATATTATACAGTCTTAAAGTGTGGTGCGTTCCTCCCCACTCACCCTGTATAGTTATAGTGGGCAGAAGTATGAGATAAATGGTGCAGTGTTTTACAAGGCTTGAGGATGCGGCAAGTGAATTAGGACTTGTTAGACAAATTAACAACCATACCTTGGATCGCTAGTAAACGCAACAAACACCGGTTTTGACATATGGGGCTGAAACGTGGACCTTCACGGTCCACGAGAAGAAAAATTCTTAGAAAGATTTTTGGGCAGTAAATCAAAATGGGCTATAGCGTCGAAGATACAACTTTGAACTATATCAGTTATACACCAATCCAGATATTGTGAAATTCGTTAAATTGCAGAGACTTAGATGGGCTAGATACATTTCTAGGATGTCAAATCACGAATACACGAAGAAATTACAATTTTCAAAACCAGAGAGCACAAGAAGATGGAGGAAAGTTGCCAGGAATCGACAGGAGTGGCGACTTTTTTCTGAGCAGGCCAAGATCCACAACCAATTGTGGAGCCACTTATGATAATGATGATGGAGTGACTTTTCACAGCTTCTAATGTTCCATATGATGATTTAAGAAGAAAAAATAAAAACTTAATGAAAGTGACGCAAGACACATGGGGTTGTAGACACGAGGAAGAGGCATATGTTCAGCACTGGACTTTTGACGCTGGATGATTATGATGATAAATATTTCATATAAGCTAGCATAAATACTTTTTTTTATTTTAGTTTGATGGCCTTGGCCGAGCCAATTAGCCAGACAAATTTAAAGACAAACAATTATGCTGCAATTGCTGGAAAGCCTAAACAAGTTCATTGTAGTTGAATTTGGTGTGACACCACAGCTAACACCATTACTTTCGGATGCGTCTGTGAAGGGAATTTTATCTAAGTTTGACTGATCGATTATTTTGTACCAAGATTACACGAGAAAAAAAATCTTACACGATCCACAACTGTAATGGCTTTTAACTGTAATAGCTTAAATATATTGATCCTTAGAAGCAGCTCTCTTAATTTCTTGAATCTGTGATCTCCAAGAATGTTTTTTGTCAAAAGAAATATTTTTTATCTACTAGTTGGAGAAGATTCTGGTTCAGAATGATGATTGGAGTATGCGTTATTTGTATTTTTGTAACATCGATCACTTTTGATTTGAATAGAGAAAAGTTAAAGCCGGATTTGCTAGTCTTATTGTTTTCTATGATCTAAAACAAAGTTATTGTACTAGCTTGTGACAGAAACCGTGAGGTGATCGAGGAGATCGAGGAAGAGTGGAACCGCATAACGAAGAGGCAACTGTACAGGAAAATCCGTACAGAAAAAATAAGGCACTGGAACGAGCTGTGTGAAAAAGCTGGATGGGGACATCGTGGTCAGTTATACAAGATCGTTATGAAGAAGTTCCATGCGTGTCCTCCTTACTAAATGTCTATGGACAAGAAGCTTGAGGTAACCTGAGAGCTCTTTCCGGACGGCAGATGGCATGGTGTATGGAGAAATGAAGGAGCTGTACCCTTTACCATGGATGAACTTGTCGAGGCATTGGGTTCACTCAAGACTCGTAGGTCTCCCGGACTGGATCAGATACCACCTGAGACGGTGAAGGGTCTAGGGCAGGTGGAGCCTGCGTGGTTTCTGGGACACATGAATGCACTGCTGGAAGCACAAACCTTTCCTGAGCCTTGGAGGACATCGAGGTTAATACTGCTTCCCCAGCTAGGGAAAAGTATCGTCCCATCTGCCTTCTTGCATTAGTAAGCTGTATGAAAGGATGCTGCGAGTACGCATAGAAGACAGGGTTGAGAGGTCAGGTGGTTTATCTCGGAGGTAATGGTTTTTGAAAAGGAAAAGCACAATTAATGCAATCATGAGTGTACTCGAAGATTGCGTTAATGTTGATGATAAAAATGCATTCAAAATGCTTCCATGGAACGTGGTAATGAAGGCAATGGAGTAGAGAGAATGTCCTGGTTACCTGATGATTGTGGTGGCGAAGTATCTGTCCAAGAGAAGGTTTATGGTGGAAAAGGGCATGGTCATGGATGTGACGGCCTGGGTACCCCAGGGATCTGTCTGGGCCCGACGCTATGGAACGTGGCATATGACGGGGTTATGCACTATGAATACGGAGAGGGTACAACCCCTTTCGCATTCGCGGATGACCTCGCTGTACTGGTTGTGGCCCGAGATGAGCCAGATCTCAAAT